CCACACCCACTCCATGCCCACCCAGTAGGCCACACCCACCTTGGCCATACCCACCCGGCCCAAGGGCAACCGCAATGCTGATGCGGCCCTCAATGAAATTGAGTTTGACACCCCTGGTATAGGTGAACCCATTCAATAGAGACCATTCTGAGCATCAGCATATGAAAAATTACTAACTGGTGTTTCGGTGGATTACAAGCTGAACATACATCATAGTGCGACTGTTTTCTTGCAGCACAGTGCAGTTATTGTATAATGTATATATATATGTGGCTAAAGGAGTGGTGTAAAGGAGAAGGTTTTGGATATATTAGTCACAATGTCAGTAGCTGGTCCCAGGAAAAAATGTACAAAAGAGATGGTTTGCATCCATCAAAGAAAGGGACTGAGTTACTTGGCTATAAATTCACAGATTTTCTCGAGGAATATTTAAACTAAACAGCGGGGACAGTGAGCTAACTGATACAGAACATCCCTGTCCCCGGCAATCTAAAAACAATAGGGCTATCAGTGCATGTAACATAGATATGTGTGTGGACAAAAATACCAACCTTGCTGTCAAGCAAAATCAAGCTCTTAATAGCGAGTGCCACACAAAGTGCACTAACCAAATAGGTGGTAAGACATTAGGGGAACTCAGGCACCACACAGGTTATGTAGGAAGTAAACACAGGGTCGGTCACAAAGGACTCAAATCTCTATACACAAATGCAGAGTATGAACAGCAAACAGGGTGAACTAGAAATTCAGGTTAATGAGGGCAGATATATTGTTGCCTTAACAGAAGCATGGTGGGACGAAATCCACAAATGGAACACACAGCTAGAGGGATTTAAATTATTTAAAAGAAACAGACCAAATAAAAGAGGAGGTGGAGTTGCTCTCTATATAAGAAATAACTACATCTCTACAGAATTAGAGCACAACAATGATGAAAACTGTCTTGAATGCATTTGGGTCAATATAAAAGAGGGTGAAATGACATTGCCATAGGTGTATACTTATAGACCACCCAACCAAACACAGGAAATAGATGAACTTTTTGCTAGTCAGCTAAATAAGTTATGTAGGAAGCACATCACAATAGTAATGGGGGACTTTAACTACCCTGACATCAACTGGGAGACAAACTCTGCACCAAGTGGAAGATCAAACAGATTCCTGACAAACCTAGCAGACAACTTTGTCTCCCAAAAAGTAGAGAAGGGAACTAGGGGATTAGCCATATTGGATCTAATCCTCACTAACAGAGATGAAATGATAGAAGGTATTGAAGCCATAGGCACCTTGGGAGGAAGTGATCATGCAATATTGGAATTCAATATTATGGAAGCACGAGCAATAGAATACAATCAAACTAGAGTCTTGGACTTCAAGAGAGCTAATTTCAATAAACTTAGAGAGGGTTTGGGAAGGATTCCATGGATGAGAATCCTCCAGGGCAAAACAACTCAAGAGGGTTGGGAAATTTTGAAAAGTGAGATAATAAAGACCCAGTCTAGCACAATACCAACAAAGAGGAAAAATAATAGCTCTCAAAAAAACCCAGCATGGCTGCATAAAAAACTCTCTGATCAATTGAAAGATAAAAAGGACAGGTATAGAAAGTGGAAAGAGGGACACATAACTAAGTCAGAATATCAGCAAATAGCCTGAGCCTGCAAAGACGAAGTGAGGAAAACCAAGGCTCAAAATGAATTAAGGTTTGCGACCAAAGTCAAAAATAACAAAAAAAGCTTTTCAACATGTAAAGAACAAGAAAAAAGTGAAGGAAACGATTGGTCCATTAGTGGGTGAAAGTGGTAAGAAAGTGACAAGCAACAGGGAGAAAGCAGAACTATTTAACTCCTTTTTTGCATCTGTCTTTACACAAAGGGAAAAAACAGACCAACCTATCAAAAATAGTGCCATAAAAAACAAAACAGAAATACAAGTTAAGATAGGCAAGAAAATGGTAAGTGAACACCTGTCCAGCCTAGATGAGTTCAAATCACCAGGACCAGATGAATTACATCCCAAGGTTCTTAAGGAACTGGCAGATGTGATCTCAGAACCACTGAACTATATTTTTCAAAGATCCTGGAGCACTGGGGAACTACCAGAGGACTGGAAAAGAGCTGATGTAGTTCCCATCTTCAAAAAAAGAAAAAAAAAGGACCCAGGAAATTACAGAACTATCAGCCTGACCTCAATACCTGGGAAGATTCTGGAAAAGATAATCAAACAACAAATCAGCGAACACCTACAGGCAAACAAAGTCATTACTAAAAGCCAACACGGGTTTGTCAAAAACAAATCACGCCAGACAAATCTTATTGCATTCTTTGACCAAGTGACAAAATTAGTGGACCAGAGGAATGCTGTGAATATAATTTACTTAGACTTCAGTAAGGCATTTGACAAAGTAGACCACAACCTACTACTTGATAAGACAGAAAAATGCGGGTTAGACAGCATCACCACCAGATGGATCCGTATCTGGCTGACCGGCCGTACTCAGCGTGTGGTCCTCAATGGAACCGCATCTACATGGAAGTGTGTAGTGGGATGCCCCAGGGCTCTGTTCTGGGCCCAGTGCTCTTCAACATCTTCATCAACGATCTGGACGAGGGGATAGATGGGGAACTCATCAAATTTGCAGTCGACACCAAGCCGGCAGGAATAGCCAACACTCCAGAAGACTGGCTTAGGATACAGGAGGATCTGGACAGTCTTGAACACTGGGCGCTATCTAACAAAATGAAATTCAATGGTGAAAAAAGTAAGGTTCTACATTTAGGCAAGAAAAACCAAATGCACAGGAATAGTATAGGGGGTACCTTGCTCAATAGTAGTAACTTGAGAGGGATCTCAGAGTCCTAGTAGACAATCATTTAAATATGAGCCAGCAGTGTGCTGCAGCTGCCAAAAAAAGCCAATACAGTGCTAGGCTGCATTAACAGAGAGATAGAATCAAGATCACGTAAAGTATTAATACCACTTTACAATGCCTTGGTAAGGCCATACTTGGAATACTGCATCCAGTTTTGGTTATGATGTAAAAAAGATGTTGAGACTCTAGAAAGAAGAGCAACAAAGATGATTAGGGGACTGGAGGCTAAAACATATAAGGAACGATTGTTGCAATTGGGTATGTCTAGTTTAACAAAGAGAAGGATGAGGGGGGACATGATAGCAGTGTTCTAGTATCTCAGGGGCTGCCACAAAGAAGAGTGAGTCAAGCTATTTTCCAAAGTGCCTGAAGGCAGGACAAGAAGCAATGGATAGAACTAATCAAGGAGAGAAGCAACCTAGAACTAAGGAGAAACTTCCTGACAGTTAGAACAATTAACCAGTGGAACAACCTGCCTCCAGAAACGGTGAATGCTCCAACACTGGAAATTTTTAAGAAGAGACGGGACAGCCATTTGTCCAAAATGATATAGGGTTTCCTGCCTGAGCAGGGGGTTGGACTACATGACCTCCAACTTTATTATTATTATTATTATTATTATTATTATTGAAGCAAAACAAAAACAAAAAAAATCCTAGGTTGCATTCACAGAACAGGAGGTTGGGTTACATGATCTCAAGATACAGCTTAACTCTTATAATTGATACTTTTATGAGTCCATCTGTTATGGGGAGCTACTTATAAGCAAATGCTTCTTTTGTGATTGAGGTCATAATTGCAGGAGAAAGGAGAAAAGATGCTTATGTGAGTAGAGCAAATGCTTGTCTCCAACTTACAGTTGGCAGAGAGAAGCATTTCATTCTTGCTAAGCTCATACATTGTACTAATCCAAGGTTTGTTTAAGTATAGTTTAACAAACCACAACTGACTAGGTTTACATAGTAAACACTTTTAACTAGATTCACACTAACATTGTTTAAAAAGTTTCACAGCTTACCACAAAAAGTGAATCAAATGGAACCTCTGTACTAGGATTGTTCTGTATGTGATGCTGCTGTTTCAGGTAGACTATGCTTGAGCTGAAACACAAATATTTCAATACTCCGTGTAGAATCAGAAGTGCTGTTCAATATTGGTGTTCTGAGAGAAGCAATAAAGAGAAAAGATCTGGGTCCCTGGAAGTGGTGGCTGAGAGGAGGAACAGAAGGCAGGGGAAATCTGGGGTCACTGAGTCAGTGGGATATGACATACTGGGAGAAGGGAATGAGATGTAATAGTAACAGTAGTAAAGTTAGAAGGGACCTTGGAGGTCATCTAGTCCAATCCCCTGCTCAGGCAGGAAACCCTACACCATTTCGGACAAATGGCTGTCCAGTCTCTTCTTAAAAACTTCCAGTGTTGGAGCATTTACTGCTTCTGGAGGCAGGCTGTTCCACTGATTAATTGTTCTCACTGTCACTGTTGTACACCAATCTTTGCTCACACTATAAAATCACTCTGGGGTGTCTTCAGACTTCAGGTTTTGTTTCTGCCGAACGAGAGCAAGCAGGAACAGCTCAGTAAAAGTTATGGCTTATTTTGGCTTTGAAATAAAATATACTTTTCCTTTCGTGCATAGCCCTAAATGGGAACTTTTACTTTGTGTCTACACCAAAGACACATCGTATTCTCTGAACTAGAATCGGGAATCTGTTGCATCTAAAGCACGTATTCCCTCACTAATCTGCCCACAACTCCCTTTCAACGAAGATAATCAAGACTACTGCTAGCTCGATCGCTTTCGCAAGGCCAGCCCGTGAGGACAACTCAGAGTTCCGGGTGTCCCAGAAACCCAAAATCTGTGTTCACTAAATAACTGATGGGTGTGAATAAGCCTGTCGTGCAAATCTGCCGTTGTCCTGAGAAGCTGCTAAAGAAAAAGGCGTCAATTAAGGCTTTAGCCTGCATCTCTTCTTAATCCACTCCGCCAAGTCCGAGCGAAGCCCCGCAGTCCTAGACTCTGCTCCTCTCCCCAACCACGTGAGCAGCGTTGTGGCACTCGGGGTTGGTTGTTCTCCCTTTCCTGGTCTGCTCGGCGCATGCGTAGTAGCATCTGCAGGGCCTTTGATCGCTTCCGGGTGGGGTTGGCAGTCCTGCTCGCGACTCGGGTAAGCCTGCGGGGCTTCGGGCGCGGAAACCGGGCGACGCCATGGCCTGCACTCTCGTGCCCTTCTGCAGCTTCCAGGACCTCGAGTCGGCGCGGGATTTCCTGTGCTCTCATCTTCGGCAGAGTGGCTCGGGGGAACCGTGGGGTGCCAAGGAATGCGGCGGTGAGCCACGACCCCTGGGTCGAGTGGGAAGAGATGGGTCGGGTAGCGGTGGTTGTGACGGTACTTTGCATTACGTCCTCTGCCCGCGCTGCCAGCAAGGTTGCTGCCTGTGAGGGACTTGCCTTCATCCATGCTTCCACTTCTTTTAGCTCTAGGTTTGCATGTAAAGAAGTATAAGCAGAGTTGGGGTCGTCATCCCTTCAACTTAATCTCCCCAGGCAGGCTGTTTTTCAATGGGTCTAAGCCTGTAAAAAGACCATAGAAAAGGTAAATATATGTGTTAGATATGGTACTTTTATCCCTGACTGCAGTAAGTAGCCCATGAATTTCCCTTTTCCCTCCGCCCATATGGACCAGTTAATGTGATAAGGAACCACGTATGTACTGAGTTACATATTTTTGATTCACGATCAGCCGCTGGTGGGTGGAGTCTGCAGCAATCGGTCACTAAGTTGACAGTGTACCAGTTTTATAAAAGAACCTAGTTCTATTAGGGCCAGCTGGTTATTTAATATCCTGGTTACAATCGGGAGAGTTATTGTGGATCCTGCAGGTGCTGACTGAACTTGATCAATGTTTTAATGAAAAACATTATTGTAGGCTGATTAGACCTGACATAATGATTTTTGAAATCAAAGACAACATTTCCACAAAGAATAGCAAACTCTGAATGGCAACATTTGTGTTAAAATAAGTAAAAAAACCCAAAAACCCTAAGTAGAATTTGGAGAGCCAGTTTTGTGTAATGATTAAGGCATCAGGCTAGAAAATGGATGACTGTGAAATATAGTATTGCCTTAGGACAGCGATGGCGAACCTTTTAGAGTGCCCAAACTGCAACCCCAAACCCACTTATGCATTGTCGGGTGCTGGGTGGGTGTGGCCCATTGGCTGTGTGTGGCCAATTGGGTAGGTATGGCCCATTGGGTGGACGTGGCTGCAGTGGTAATGGCAGACTGGGTGGGACTAAAAAATTCAATCAATTCCAACTTTGCAAGATCTTTTTTTCCCCATGAGGTTGAAATTGACTGATTGATTGAACCTTTTTTTTTTTTGCACACGGCAGCGGAGGCCTAAAGCGAAAAGGTTTTATAAAACCCAGCTGAAGGCCTAGGACTGGGGCGATGGCGCGCATGCCCACAGAGAGGGCTCTGAGTGCTGCCTCTGGCACCCATGCCATAGGTTCACCACCACTGCCTTAGGAGCAAAGCCAATTGGGTGACCTTGGGCCAGTCACCCCTTCTCTACCACTTCCGAAATCTGGCCAAGAAAACTGTTAGGACTTGACCAGGCAGTTGCCAGGAGTAAAAAGTACTGACTCAAAGGCGTGTGCGCGCGTGGGTGCGCGCGCGTGCGCGCGCACACACACACACACACACACACACACATATGATTTAGTACAAGATTCACATAGGCCTAGGAGCTATTGATGTAGAATATGGATTCTATAGACAGTTTTTTTTTGAACAGAGCAGAATATATGTAGCTCAGCATTGAACTGTAGAGTCCTTGATGTATAGTTGTTTGCTTGCAGACTTTTCATTACCTGACTCTAGGTAATAATGCTGATGATATTACCAACACTGATGATGTTTCCTAGTCAGGTAATGAAACATCTGCAAGCAAACAACTAAGCTCAGAAGGCACAAAAGATTCCACAGTTTATTTTCGCTTTGCAAACTTTTTGTGTAGCTCAAATGCCACATATGCATCAAAAGATCTGTAACAGAAGTCTGTAACAGAAGTCTTGATTTTGAGGTGATACCCAGTATTAATTAAATAACTAAATTATGCCAGTTTTATACATCATAGTAAACTAGTAAAGTTATCAGTGAACAGTGATTTTAGATTGGCAAACTTTATAGTCCAGTACTTCTCAAACCTGACAACTTTAAAATGTGTGGACTTCAAGTTCATCAGCCTGTATGGGAATTGAATTCATCACATCCACAGTTCTGGGAGTTGAAGTCCACATGTCTTAAAAGTTGCTAAGTTTGAGAAGCCAAGGTAGATGGGCTAATGAGCTATTATACTTACCAAACTAATTTTGTTTTGCGTAATGTGAGCAGTGTAATAATAATTAGAAATATTCTAATTCAGGAAGAAATCTACAAGTCCTATTTAAATCTGAGAAACAGAAAGGTCTCTGAATTTATTCATACTTCTTCTGTTTTAATTGACCTAATTCTTTGCTAAAACAGGAACATCTAAAGAGGATTGCTTTATTAGCTAAGAAGTTCATTGTTGCTCTCTAGTAACCAGCCTTAGCTAAACAGTCATAATTTATCTTCAGTGATGGTTAATCAAAACAAGATATCAGAAGATTCAATGGTTAATACATTTTCCCATGAATTGGAAAAGTTCTCAGCAAGCAAAATGCAGTCCATGGTGCAGTTTACCCTTTCTGGAAAAATATATTATCACGTAGTATATTTATTTGTACTCTATTTTATTCCATTAATTTGTCATGCATAATATGACATAATATTCTCATGCCTTACCCTGTACAACAAAAAGTGCATATATATTGGTGGATAGCAGCTTGGCTCTGGGAAGTTGGTCTTGAGTAATATGATACAAATTTTTCATTCATTTGCTCTCCCATGCTTATTAAGATGGCATGGAGATGATGAACACCTGGCATTTATTTTGCACTTAATGTGGATTCTTTTTTCTTCATATGTTTAACAGAGTTTTGTGAAATGTAAAGAACTAAAAATCAAGATACCTGTCTGTAAGATAGGCAAATAGAAGAAAAAGATGTGGGATAATATGCATAAGGCTCATCTATTGCAGTCCAGATTTGCTGATCTCTGCAATTTCCTCAATATGGAAAATTTCACTGCCTAATTTGTGGTAGTGAGGGGATTGTGTTTGTGTTTTATGGCTTGCTTTTTGAGTGAAAATATTGCCAGTGACTGTAAACATAGTTCTAGTTATAAGATTCATCCCACTAGTGACTATTTGTTTTTTTAGCTATGGAGATTGGTATTTAATTTAGGGAAAGTTTCTGGAGAATAGCTTCTACAATTCTTTTTACCTCTGCTGTATATCATATGGCCAAAACAATAGTAGGGAGGCTTAGAATGAGGAATTGGCAACCTTTTGAGAAGCTGCCCAACTTCCTCTTTCATATGGATGTATTGGGGAATATTTTCCTAAATCAGCTCATTTTCAAATTTATTTCTCTTGCATGCTTCTTTCTGCACACCAATTTTACTTCTATTCTACTAGATTTTGGAAGAATTTACTTATTTATTTAGTAAATGTATATGCTACCCATCTAGCCTCAAGGCGACTCTAGGCTGCTTATAATGTAAAAACAAGTTTATAACTTGAAATGTTAAAATAATAACATTAACGTTGGTTTAAAATTAACAAGATGGGAAGAAAGGGAACCAGATACATGGGGAAGAGTTGGAAACTTATCTTAATTCATTAACCATCTCCAGGATGACATGCCCTCATTGGGCTCCCAGGCCAATTGGCAGGGCCAGGTCTTTAGGCTTTTTTGGAAGTCAAAAAGGTTGGGTATGGATCTCACCTTAGGGATGAGACCCATGGCAGAAATGGCTTTTCTCCTGGACTCCGCCAGCCAGAATTCCTTGACTGATGGAGTCAGTAGCATGTCCCTTCTGCTAGCGCTGGTAGGGTGGGCCACTCCCATTGGGGCGAGACGATTCCTCAGATAGCCTGGACATGTTATGAAGAACTTTAAAAGGTGATAACCAATATTTTGAATTGAACCTGGAAGCAAACTAGCAACCAGTGCAGTTTGTAAAACACCGGTGTAACATGGACCTCACTCGAGATCCCAAGAATCATCCTGCTGGTGGACAAATGGTTAGGCAAACAGTCTTCTGTGACCCTTTTCATAATTTAATTTGGTAAGAAAATTGGCTTTAGATAAAAGATGTATAAAAATGGTTTTAAAGAAATGTTTCATAGAATGAGGAAAATTGAAAAACTTAAAAGACCATGCTTGTTTAAACTGCTTTTTAACTTGTGACATAGATTTAATATTCAGTGAAGAAACACCCACATACTAAAAGCAACTAAGCTGTTGAAATAGTTGTTTAATATTTGCCATTATGCATCATATGGAACAGTGCTACTTCCTTAGCAAATTTCATGCTATTTTAATGAATTGAATTACTATGACATGATTGGTGTTATGAAGCTTTAGAAAATCATCCAGGTTACATAAAATTTGCCTGGATCAACATCTTATTTTCCTTTCAATATATTTTTAGATTATTGCAGTATACATAGAAATTGATGAAGCAAACCTTGAAAGCCTAAGGGTGCTTAAGAATATACTTAAATATAGTATTTGTAATTTTTCTTTGAACTTTTTGTAGCTTTTGAGTGGCATTAATGAATCATAAGATGCTTGTGTTCAAATTATGATTGGACGAGCAGTATGGTTCATTTTGTCAATTTCTAAAATAAAAAATATGAAAAATATTTACTCAGAATTTGGTTATGCAGACATGCTGTAGTTTCCATTCTATAGCAAGAAGGATTTTAGTGATCTTTAAAACTTGATGTTTCAAATTAAGAATACATGTATATATTCTAAATAGCAGAAAAACAGATTGATTTATAAATCTTTATAACTTAATGTTGCTTAATATAAGGGACACTTTATTTTTATTTTCAAAGCCATAGTTTTTATCTATGTTCCTCCTTAAATCTGTTGCTTCGTGTAGTGTAAAGCAAATTGATCAGAGAGGCTTTCTAGGTTTGCTTCATTAATTTCTATATATGCTGCAATAGTCTAAAATGGTTGAAGGGAAAATAAGAAGTTGATCCACCTAAACATAATGTTTATGAAATAATTGAAATCACTACATTATCAGATTTGTGTTGTTATCACGTTCAAAGATGAATGACTCATTCAGCTGTGAGGATCCGTTCAGTAAACTGCCTTCAGTGTGAATCTAAAAGGAATATTGTATATCAGAAGCAAATTATTTTTCTTCTATGAAACAGTAGGT